TTATAATCATAACATGTACTAACTGACTGATCAAGTCCGATCAAGTATTGTAAAATAATTTTTTTATGTGTTTCACATAACCTAGCACAAATGCTGCCGTACGGTATTTTGAATTTGAGGGTTTATTGCGGATTCCGTAATTCAATTTCGTCTTCACACAAATTTATTTCTTTTTATACTGTATAATTTTTATTCGTTGGCATGTATACTCGTGGACGTTCTAGGTCCCCACGATCTCTGCCTCGGAGACGCTCTAAGTCTTCACGATCTCCACTTCGTAGACGTTCTAGGTCTCCACGATCTTCACCTCGTAGACACTCTAGGTCTCCACGATCTTCACCTCGTAGACGCTCTAGATCTTCACGATCACCACCTCGTAGACGTTCTAAATCCCCACGATCTTTGCCTCGTAGGCGTTCCAGATCACCACGACCTTTGCCTCGTAGACGTTCTAGATCTCCACAATCTCTACCTCGCAGACGTTCTCGATCGCGAACTCGCGTTGTGCGTTCACCTGTGCATTCACCTGTTCGTTCACCCGTTCGCTCCCCTCCTCAAAAGCGTTCAAGGTCACGTTCTCGCGCCTCTGAAGATTCGTCCTCCAAGGACGACAAATCATCAGTAGTAAAGCCTAATTTCGAGCTATCTGGCAAACTTGCCGCGGAGACCAACACGGTTAATGGTGTTGTATTGAAATATCATGAGCCTTCTGAAGCAAGAAAACCAACAAAGAAATGGAGATTGTATGTGTTTAAAGACACTGAACAGTTAGGTAAAGTTATAACTTATTATTGTTTATACTCCTATTACATAAATTATAGGGTTAGCGAGGTCGCTAAATCGACATCCCTATCATATTTTTAACAGATGTCCTTCATGTTTATCGCCAAAGTGCTTATCTGCTAGGTCGTGATAGGAAAGTAAGTGGTTCACCCTTTTCAGATTGTTTTCAAATGATACTCGACTACGTTTCACATATCTATATCCTTAATAAGGTTGCAGATATTCCAATTGATCACCCATCTTGTTCCAGTCAACATGCAGTTTTGCAATTTCGACAAGTATTTGTTACTGACGAAAATACTGGAGAGAAGAAAGCTGAGGTCAAACCATACATAATTGATCTTGAATCAACTAACCATACATTTGTAAATAAAGAAGAAATTCCGACCTCAAGATATGTGGAATTACGTCCATCAGATGTGATCAAATTTGGTTTCAGCACTCGTGACTACGTTTTAATTCACGAAGAAGCAGAATAGTGGTTGGACCCGTCTGAAAAATCATGACCGGGTAACCCGGCGGGTAAACCCGCGCGTCACCCGGTGGATAAATGGGTCTACCCGGATCGCCGGGTAACCCGACTAACCCGGGTAAACAATTGGGTAGCAAGAAGTGCTTTCCCAACTCCGAATCAAATTTTACTAGCACAAATAATTTTGTAAGTTCCATAAAATAGAAACCAATTCTTATAAAATTCTTTCTTCTATAATTATAATATGAAATTGATAAAATATTTGATGAATTGCACAAGAACTATACTAGAGCATACCAGTATAGTATAATACATTTCTAACTCCTTTTAAACAACTCAAGCGCCTAGTTACATTACCTAATTTTTTATATCAGATATTTTTCTCTTTCTGCATATATTGTAACAAAATTATCATCTCTCATGAGTGTTATTATACAAAAGAATTTTAATTTAAAACTCATAATTATAATCTATGGATACTATTTAAAAAAATTGATACAGGTAGTACAGCAAGGGCCGCACTCTCGTTGACTCCGGACTACCACATGATCATCAGGAGCACCACAACCTGGCACAGCATTTTTCGAGTTGCAGGGTTCGCGTGATAGGTCAATAAACTACTAGTATTGGTAATATAAAAAGTATATTTCGAAGGGATTTAACCAGTGAGAAATTTTTTAGCGTAGGTTTCAAAATTAAAAAAATATGCGGTTTGCAAAATTCTGATTACTGGTGATTACTATTGATTTCTAATTTCATTTTGCTACTCCGATATTATAGTTTCATATCGCGATATCGGAGTAGTTTTAAGAAATCAGAAATCACTAGTAATCACCACAATTTTTTTTTGATAATTTTTAAGAGGCGATACAGAATATCGCAAACCGCAATAATTCTAACTGAAATACTGTAGATAGTGTATATTTTGTTTTATCAATTTGAATTATTATAAAACGCACCTATGGTGTTTTAGCACCTATATAGAAAATTAAGAATTTTTTTTTTTTTATAATAATAAAGAGCTAATATAAGGGCCCGATCTCAGTTCTCGTGAGGTTTTTTGGGGTTCTGAACATTTTTACTTAGAGGACCCGATCCTGTTTACTTAGTACGTTTTTGAGAAACGGGACCTATGGTGTAAAACACCATAGGTGCGTTTTACAGAAAATATGCTTATTTTAAATACAATACTGATTAATAATATAGAGTTATTTTGTATGCCGGATAAACAATTATTATGCTCATAGTACGTAGAGTTCGGGCATTAGGGGCGTTCTCAAGCGCTTCAATCAATGGGTCAAAGTATGCAGAAAATACTGTAATAGTGAGCTGGGCGTTATTCAACCCCCAAATTTCGCAAATCACGTGCTAGCCAATGAAATTCTTTCTTAACGAATATTAATGCTACGATATGTTAAGATATATTTTTTTTAAAAAAAAAAGAAAAAAGACATTTATTTAAAAATATTTTTTATTTAAAATTTAATAATTTTTTTACAAAAAAAAAACAGAAATAACAAAATTTATAAGAAACCATCCTCATGGCCTAATTAAAATGCTTCATGCAAAGTTTTGCTAATAGAAACTTTGCCCTAACCCTAACTCTAACCCAACTACAAACTACAACGCTAAATTCTTAGTAAAAATTACAGGAAGAAATAACTTTGTAGGTGCATTACCTACTCTAACCCAACCCAAACTACAATATTGGATTCTTAGTAAAAAGAACTGAAGAAAGCATCATTAAAAGAATGATGAAGAGACCACTAAAAGATGATGAAAGAGTTCTAAAAAAAAGATAAAAGAATACCAGAAAAGCACCGAAAAAGCAATGAAAAAGTGGCGAAAGAAGTACTGAAAAAGTGATGAAAAAGTGAGAAAAAAAGAAAATAGCAATGAAAGAAAAATATTAATCTAAAAAAAAAAGAATACAAAAAAATATTAAAAAGAACAAACTATTGAAACAATAGAAAAAAAAACTGAAAAAAAACAATGCTAAAAAAAAAACAATGAAAAAAAATAACAAAAAAAATACAACAAAAAAAAAGTGCTAAAAAAAACAATGTATGTATCTATTTATAGTAGTTAATTGACATATTACATAATAGTGAAATTTTTTAAATTAGTTATACTAGGGTCTTAGTGTTATTTTAAGACATGAAGTGAAATTAAGCTTAATTTAGGCCAAAATTCAAAATTACACTCCTGTGCATTATTATGTACAAATTTATAACTTCTATAACTATATACTAAAAAAATTTGTATAATGATAACATTTAGATTACTCAATAAACTTCTAATTTATACTCTTTCTAATGATCATTTGGACCACAATTTCTAAAAAACTTTTTACTAGGAAAAAATACAGTACACTAGAGTAAAAGTTAATAACTTCTCATATAAAACATAAGAAAAGGGACTGTAAGTCAGCAGCTATTATTTAGAGGTAGTTCTTATATGCTATCTGCTAAAAGTTTCAGAGTTTATTACTTACTGACTGTAAATATAGCACTTGTCATTTAGAAGTAGTTCTCATATACTACTTGCCAACAAGTTCAGACTATGTACTATGCAGGCTCCGGTAGATATAGTGTTCGAAATCGGATTGAAAATCCCGGTTGATCCAGGATTGATCCGAATCCAATCTGAATCCGTAATATGGATTAATTTGGGCTGATCCGGGGGCCAATTTGACGGTTAATCCGGGATTATACCAACCGATCCAAAATCAATCTGAAATACGGATTGATCCGGGCAATCCGTGGTTAATCCGAAATTTTTATGATAAAACCCCAAAAAGTATATATATGTATGTATGTACGTATGTACGTACATATACTGTACGTATGTACTTTTGAAATCTTATCTTTATTATATGTATAATGATAATAATATATAAATACGTATGTATGTATTCTTTTATTATATACTACTAAAATATACTTAAATATTAAAGCTTACTTAAACAAGTTTGCTTCTTTTATAATTTCAATTATGCATTTCTCGAAAACTTACTCTTACCAAATCATTTATTAGATTGTTAGATATTTTGAATCAGGTTTATTTGATTTATTTGGTTGCTAATACTATATAATAGACTTGTTGAGAAGTTTTTGGGTATTGTGAATCAGAACCTTCTGTCAAATTCAACTAAAAATTCAAGGCCAATGATGATATTCAATTTCTTGTATAAATTGTATTTGCTGAAGCCATTAGAGTATTCTATAAGCTGGGTTAATATTATAGATCGAATTCAATTTAATATATTAATTCAGGTCAGTCGTATTATTTTAGTTTGCTTCTTTACAATTTCAATTATACATTTTCTTGAAAACTTACTCTTACCAAATCATTTACTAGATCATTAGATATTTTGAATCAGGTTTATTTGCTTTATTCGGTTGCTAATACTATATAATAGGCTTGCTGAGAAGTCTTTGGGTATTGTAAATCAGAATCTTCTGTCAAATTCAACTAAACGTTTTCAAAAATTCAAGGCCAATGATGATATTCAATTTCTTGTATAAATTGTATTTGCTGAGGCCGCTAGAGTATTCTATAAGCTGGGTTAATGTTATAGATTGAATTCAATTTAATATATTAATTCAGGTCATTCGTATTACTTTAGTTTGCTTCTTTATAATTTTAATTATGCATTTTCTTGAAAACTTACTCTTACCAAATCATTTATTAGATCGTTAGATATTTTAAATCAGGTTTATTTGCTTTATTCAGTTGCTAATACTATATAATAGGCTTGTTGAGAAGTCTTTGGGTATTGTGAATTAGAACCTTCTATCAAATTCAACTAAGCGTTTTCAAAAATTCAAGGCCAATGATAATATTCAATTTCTTGTATGAATTGTATTTGCTGAGGCTGTTGAAGTATTCTATAAGCTGGGTTAATGTTATAGATCAAATTCAATTTAATATATTAATTCAAATCATTCGTATTACTTTAGTTTGCTTCTTTACAATTTCAATTATGCATTTTCTTGAAAACTTACTCTTATCAAATCATTTACTAGATTGTTAGATATTTTGAATCAGGTTTATTTGTTTTATTCAATTGCTAATACTATATAATAGGCTTGTTGAGAAGTCTTTGGGTATTGTAAATCAGAACCTTCTGTCGAATTCAACTAAGCGTTTTCAAAAATTCAAGGCCAATGATGATATTCAATTTCTTGTATAAATTGTATTTGCTGAGGCCATTAGAGTATTCTATAAGCTGGGTTAATATTATAGATCAAATTCAATTTAATATATTAATTCAGGTCATTCATATTACTTTAGTTTGCTTCTTTGATAATTTCAATTATGCATTTCTTGAAACTTACTCTTACCAAATCATTTATTAGATCGTTAGATATTTTGAATTAGGTTTATTTGTTTTATTTGGTTGCTAATACTATATAATAGGCTTGTTGAGAAGTCTTTGGGTATTGTGAATTAAAACCTTCTGTCGAATTCAACTAAGCATTTTCAAAAATTCAAGGCCAATGATGATATTCAATTTCTTGTATAAATTGTATTTACTGAGGCTGTTGAAGTATTAAGTAGGCTGGGTTATTGTTATAGATCGAATTCAATTTAATATATTTATTCAGATCATTCGTATTACTTTAGTTTGCTTCTTTAACAATTTCAATTATGCATTTCTTGAAAACTTACTCTTACCAAATCATTTATTAGATCGTTAGATATTTTGAATTAGGTTTATTTGTTTCATTCGATTGCTAATACTATATAATAGGCTTGTTGAGAAGTCTTTGGATATTGTGAATCAGAACCTTCTGTCAAATTCAACTAAGCGTTTTCAAAAATTCAAGGCCAATAATGATATTCAATTTCTTGTATGAATTGTATTTGCTAAGGCCGTTAGAGTATTCTGTAGACTAGGTTACTGTTATAGATTGAATTCAATTTAATATATTAATTCAGGTCATTTGTATTACTTTAGTTTGCTTCTTTGACAATTTTAATTATGCATTTCTCGAAACTTACTCTTACCAAATCATTTATTAGATCATTAGATATTTTGAATCAGGTTTATTTGTTTCATTCGGTTGCTAATACTATATAATAGGCTTGTTGAGAAGTCTTTGGGTATTGTAAATCAGAACCTTCTATCGAATTCAACTAAGTGTTTTCAAAAATTCAAGGCCAATAATGATGTTCAATTTCTTGTATAAATTGTATTTGCTGAGGCCGTTAGAGTATTCTATAAGCTGGGTTAATGTTATAGATCGAATTCAATTTAATATATTAATTTAGGTCATTCGTATTACTTTAGTTTGCTTCTTTACAATTTCAATTATGCATTTTCTTAAAAACTTACTCTTACCAAATCATTTACTAGATCGTTAGATATTTTGAATCAGATTTATTTGTTTTATTCGGTTGCTAATACTATATAATAGGCTTGTTGAGAAGTCTTTGGGTATTGTGAATTAGAACCTTTATCGAATTCAACCAAGCGTTTTCAAATTTTAAAGCCAATAATGAAATTCAATTTATTGTATGAATTGTATTTGCTGAAGCCATTGGAGTATTCTATAGGCTGGGTTACTGTTATAGATCGAATTCAATTTAATATATTTATTCAGATTATTCATATTACTTTAGTTTGCTTCTTTAACAATTTCAATTATGCATTTCTCAAAAACTTACTCTTACCAAATCATTTATTAGATCATTAGATATTTTGAATTAGGTTTATTTGTTTCATTCGGTTGCTAATACTATATAATAGGCTTGTTGAGAAGTCTTTAGATATTGTGAACCAGAACCTTCTGTTGAATTCAACCAGGTGTTTTCAAAATTTAAGGCCAATGATAATATTTAATTTCTTGTATGAATTGTATTTGCTGAGGCCGTTGGAGTATTCTGTAAGCTGGGTTACTGTTATAGATCAAATTCAATTTAATATATTAATTCAGGTCATTCGTATTACTTTAGTTTGCTTTTTTACAATTTCAATTATGCATTTTCTTGAAAACTTACTCTTACCAAATCATTTACTAAATCATTAGATATTTTGAATCAGGTTTATTTGTTTTATTCAGTTGCTAATACTATATAATAGGCTTGTTCAGAAGTCTTTGGGTATTGTGAATCAGAACCTTCTATCAAATTCAACTAAGCGGTTTCAAAAATTCAAGGCCAATGATAATATTCAATTTCTTGTATGAATTGTATTTACTGAGGTCATTGAAGTATTTTGTAGACTAGGTTACTGTTATAGATCGAATTCAATTTAATATATTTATTCAGGTCATTTGTATTACTTTAGTTTGCTTCTTTACAATTTCAATTATACATTTTTCTAAAACTTACTTTTACCAAATCATTTACTTGATCGTTAGATATTTTAAATTGGTTGCTAGTAATATATATTAGGCTTGTTTAAAAAGTTTTTAGATATTGTAAATTGAATATATTTACCAAATTTGGCCAAGCATTTTTTTTTAAAAAAAATAATAAATATTAAGGCTTATGATAATATCTGATTTTTTGTATAAAAGGGTTTACTGAGGTCGTTAAGGATTTTTTAAGCTGGGTTATAAATTATTTTTATATTTTCTAATTTAATACTATATTTTGTGCATAATAACGCGTATCTGTATATTGAAACCTTATATATTATTTTGCAATAATTTACAAATTTGGGTTACTTGGCTATATATATTTAAAAATAGAAGTTTTAAATAATGTATATATGTACGTTCCAAATATAGAATTATAGTATATTGTAAATAAATTATAAATATATAATTTGTATAATAGAATTTGTAATTTAATAAACTATTGAATATGATGATTATATAGTTTAATAAAATTTATATATATAGTTGCTATAAATTTAATTTAGAATAAAATTTGATTTTAAGTCTAATTTTTTTTGATAAATTTTTATTTTCAATATGTCTCAAGAATCTTTTTCATCTTATTCTTCTCAAAAATTTTTGGTTCAAGTTTTTTCACATCAACAACCTTTAGTTCAACAATCTGCTCAACAATCTACTGCTCAACACTTTACTGCTCAACAATTCATTTCTCAACAATCTACTGCTCAACAATTTACTGCTCAACAATTCATTTCTCAACAATCTGCTTCTCAACAATTTGCTTCTCAACAATCTGCTTTCCAACAGTCTGCTTCTTAACAATCTGCTTCCCAACAATCTGCTTCCCAACAATCTGCTTCTCAACAATCTGCTTCTCAACAATCTTCTACTTCACAAATTTTTCCGCAGCTTACTCGTCAAGATTCTCAACAATCTATTGTTAATATATTTGAAGATTTTACATTTGATAGTACTATTATTGAAGAATTTAATAATTTAGCAGATTTACCTATTGTCTATAAATTTTATACTTTTATTAAAAATACTAATAAATTTAAATGCAAACTATGCTCGTAGGTTTTATTTTTAAAATTTATTATTTAAGATTTTAAATTAATATATTAATTTTTTTTAGAACTGAATATACCAAGCCAAAAACTAAATTTACTGAAACAATGCGATTATATCTTAAAAACAAGTATCAAATTAATTTAAATGAATTAGAAATTAATATAACTGGAAAAAAAGTAATTTAATTTAATATAATATTTTTAAATTATTATTATTAAATTTAAAATATTTTTTATATTATTAATTTTTTAAAAATATATAATATAAATACTAATAATTTATATTTATTATTTATAGAAATTTATACAAGAGGAATTTATTAATATAATTACTAATTAAATAGTTAGGTGTGGCGGCTTAGTGAAGTGGTCAAGTCGTCACCTTCTCCAAGTAGCAGATCTAGGGTTCAAATCTCACGGACGACGAAAGTTTGAAAAAATAGGCTTGCGTTATGGTAATGGATCTTCATTAAGTTGGGGCTTAAATTAATCTGTAACTTCGGGTCACACCAATGCTCTGTATTGGAAAGTTGTCACTGTCGGGCGTCTGCGTACTACTTAGTGGCTA